AAACCGATGAATCCACTCTAGTCACGAATTCATCGGTTCCTTTGATGCGCCATGATCCGAGTGATCTTGGATCACTGATCCTGACCCAGATCACCCCTAAGGAACGCACCCTAAGTAGCCAACGATGTACAGCATTTATCAAAACACGTGTCGAGAAATAGCTTAGTAAAAACAACGAAAAAGCTAGATTCAAAACTAGCTGGCCTTAACTCTCAACACGACAAGAGATTACAACAAAGATGAAAAAAATGCATTTTTTGGCCAACCGTCGATCACGTTCTACACCACGATTGGCTAAAATAATATCACATGAAGTCACGCGTACGGACAAAACAAATACCAAGGCGAGAGAGGTGAGTTCAGAATTAGTAGTTCGAAAAGTTCAGACTGTTACTACAATGTGTACCCACCAGAAAAAAACAAAATCTCTAGTATTCTTAGATAGTGTAAGACTGATTGAACAGTAGCCGTATCTTGGCTTACAAAACTCACAGAGGAAGTATCAACAAAGACAAACAAAAAATACCTTGCAGATACACTTTATGCACAAAATACTTCTACTACTGCTCGAGACATATTTGGAATTCAACCAGATAATTTCAGTACTGATCAAATACCTACAGAGATCCATCTAATACCTGCTTAGATGTAAAACTCTAAAAGCCCAGCAACAATCAGAATAATCATGGATGCCTGTAGAGTAGCATGACATTTGGGTTGTGGAATGACAGGCGTCCCGTGAGTGGGGAAACACCAGGGCCGATGGAAAGGTGTTTATTTCCTCTTATCTTACCACGATGATCCGTATCACAAGAAAGAGAATCGAAAACACTAAGAACTGTTAACTCTTGTTGCGTTAACTGGCTACACTTAAGAAAGAAAAACGTACCTTTAGAGATGCACTCTCCTGGATGCTTAAGGGTTACGTCACTGCCTTCGTCACACACCAGCAGCTTCATCATGCACTCAGTCCCGTATGTTTTGCCATCAGTGCCGCACACAGGAGCATATTCTCTTGTACAAATCCTGTTGCACGAGCATTCATTTACACCAGTCTTCTGATTCTTAACACACTTTCCATAACGATGGCACGGTGGATCACATGTTAAACCGTCTGCTAACAAAATAGCAAGATTGTGTGTCAATTGAGTTAAGAAATCAACTTGAAATGCCAGCTCCCTCTGAAGTCTAATGACACTTGCCACAACGGGCTAGATGTATTGAAGAGTTTAATCAAATAAAAAATAGCCTCCATTTGGCGCGAAAATATGTTCAGATATTTGTCCGCCGACATTATCTGTTCCGAGAAGCGAACAGTATTCCGAGAGGGTAGCTCGAGGAAAACTGTAATCCCTAGACCAATAGTTTTACTCCAGTCGAGGACCACATTTTGCAAGGCACTTAACATCGGACGAGTAGGCTTGTCACAAAAATCTAACTCGGTCAAACAAATATTGGTCCACGAAAAAAAAAAATTAGGTAAAACTCTTGTCAAGAAGCAAGGTGCTGAAAAAGATGATGAGAAAGTATCAATTAAATTACCTTTCTTTTTCGAAGAGCACTCTCCTCGATGCTTAAGCGTTACATTGCTTCCTTTCTCACAGACCAGTAACCTCATCATACATTCAGTGCTGTATGTTTTCCCATCAGTGCCGCACACAGGGGCGAATTCTCTTGTACATATCCTGAAGCAAGAGCATTTATTTTTACCAGTCTTAGGGTTCCTCACGCAGTTTCCAAAGCGATGACATGGTGGTTGACATGTTAAACCAAAATCAGCACTTTGCCTTCCTGTAGAGAGATGACGAACTAAATTATCTACAGGTAAATAAACACAAGTTTATGTAAATTTGACTCCTACAACCTTCACTCGACTCTCACAGTACATCTGTTTTTCCTAGTACTTACTTCCAAGACCCCCTGGAGGAGGTGGTAAGGCTTTGTCAGTCTTGACACATTTTTTGGTGCAGTTTGACTGGAGACAACATTTCTCCCCAAGAGGACATATGTCATCAAACCTGCAACCAGTTATCGATGCACATCCTGGGATGGGATTTAACACTGGGCATGTGCCTGGTCTTGTAACTGAAAATCATGTGTGTTTACCTATAATATCTGTATCAACATTCTCTAAGCTAAGGCCACTGAAAACAAAGGATCGATTTACACCTTGTGTTCCATTAAGATTATTCACCATAGTTTGTGTTCGATTATTAAGACATTTACATTTTAGTTTGCCGGCATTGATCCCAATGTATTCAAACATTTTACAAAATGTCACTTCTTAATCAGATGATCAAACCGCCCCCACTGTAATGATCCCACTGCCTATCAGATGATCGAACACTTTGCAAATTTGTAAACTAGTTGTAATATGAAGCCCCTTCCATATCAAACAGTGTAACAAACACAATCCATGAGCAATAAACCAAACAGTAACACAAAGTCGTTACAGCATTTTGCTCGTGCAGTACTCACGCGGAGGAGGAATCATCTCTGCTTTGACACATTTTCGAGTGCAATCGCTCTGCAGACAGCATCTGCTGCCAAGAGAGCATCTTTCATCAGCATCGCACCCAGTTATTTTGCCAGAACATTTCGGAGTAGGGTTCAGTACAGGACATAGGCCTGGTCTTGTTCCTGGAAAGAGGAAAACAGCAAAACAATTATTAGTGTTAATGCTTGTGGCCTATTCCCATTGACTCTCGCAAAACTGAAAACAAAATGCTAATCCTCTTTGCAGAATATTGAACAACAGACAGTACTACTGTAAAGATCTGTTCTGCAGCTCTATAGATTTCTATAATCCAACACTATAGGGTTTTTATAAGTCATCTGAAATTCATAGCCATCTTGTAAAGCATTACAAACAGTACTATATAAATTACTGGTCTTGTTCCTGCTTTTTAGCTTTTATTTACAAGTGTAGTCAGGCAGTAATGCTTTTGGCCCACAGAACTAAGTCTGGTCGTTTGAAGAGCGTTTTCGTAAAGCTCCGTTTTCGTAACGTGCTAGTATGGACCTAGCCCTAACCATAGACATAAAGCTGCGTTCCAAATGGAATTACATACTAATTTACCCCCCCTCCCCTGAGCACCCCATAATAGCTATCTGAAACAACAGAATTTAAAATGACCGCCGTGTCGCCGAAAAGATCCATTATTTCTTCCCTAGCCAACTGCCATAACTCACTCAAGCTACGCTACGCTAGCTATAACTCGTTAAAATAATAATGCCGCTTTATCAACACATTCTTACCATCGGGAAGAGCTGGCAGTGTACATTTGTGTTCACAGGTGTTGTCAAGGCAGCACATTGAGCCTGGCGGACATGTTACATCTCCAGTGAAGCAAGTTCCATTCGTCAGTTCCGCCAGATTACAGAGTGGAGTTGGGTTCAAAAGTGGACATTGCTTCTTTTCTGTATCTGTATTGATTATGGAATCAGGATAAATTAAGTCACTTGGGTGAGCACAGCTCTAAAATGTTATTATATCACACTATATATGAG